CGGCCCAGGGCACTGCTACCTGGGGAGGAGGTGGTGGCTTCTCACTTGGCTGGAGAGCCATCGGGCTGGGCTGGATCACGAAGAACATCAACGGCTGGCCCACACAGACCCCAGAGGCAGTCCCGGGCACCCAGAAGGTGGGGGCGCCCAAAGGAGCGGCTGCAGCCAAGGGTGGCATGCTCTCCTGTGTCTGAGAGGGGCCAAGGGGAGGAGAGGTGCTGTGGACAGCGGGTGGGGCCCTTCGGTCCTCTGGAGCAGGAGCGGTCGTGGCCGATGCGCCGCCTGGTCCTCGGGCCCGGACATTGCCAGGCCCCCTTGCGCTCTGCTGGGGGTGCCGAGCTCTTCGGTTTTGAAACCATATCTAGGGGAGCAAAAGGCAGACAGGCACATCAGAAGCCGTGACCGTCCAGATCAACGTGCTGGCGCCTCCGCGGCACCCATTTGTCACCCCGCCTGGCGGCCCGTCCTCTGATCTGGCAGGCCCAGGGCGAGTTCTGCAGGGCCATTTTCTGCAAACGAATCCCTGGGCCCTGGGAGATGAGGAGCGCCTGCACGGCAACAAGCGGCACAAAACCCACCACTCAGCCCACCAACTTTCGGCCCCCTCCCCCCAGCCCAAGCCCCGGCCCAAGCCGACGTGTATCCAGCTCCAAACGCTTGGCAGGGCTGAACGCGCCCGTCTCCTGGGCCACGGCCTGGGCCCATGCGCTGGCTGGAGAACTTACCTGGATTCGAGGTTCTGGGATTCCCGTCTGACGAGCCAGTTCTTCCCTGGCGGCAATCCCTGGAAAGCGATCCCTCGTGAAGGCTTGCACAAGGATCCTTGTTTGAGAAGGAGAGATGGCTGTCCTCTTTCTCCTGGCCTCTCTGGCCGAGTCTTCTACCAAGGAAAGAACACACCGAGAGGAGAGGACTTTAAGGCCCATGGAACCTTGACAGCACAGATACCCTAGACGGTGTGCAGGGGCTGGACAGTCCCACACACCTGAATCACTTCAGGTGGCTCTGAAGCCGGGGCAGGGTTCTACGGAATACACCCACAGATGGATCTCGTGCCTGGATCCATGGTGCAGGTGTGCGTGCACACATGCACACTCGGCACACATGCATGCCCCTGTGTGTCTCTTTGTTCCTCCGGACATGCCGCGGAGTGCCCTGAAGCCTGCTCCTTGGCCAAGGTTGCCTGGGCAGCCGGAGGCTAAAGTTCCCGACGGGGACTCGGGAGGGGGTGCAAAGGGGGAACAGTGCTGCCCGTCCACGCCGCCTGGGGGCATGGTGGGCCTATCTGGGTCGCTGATGGGGGACGCAACCAGATGGCCCTGTTTCCTCCCTGCTTGGTGTTTCTGAGCCTCCGGTGGTCATCCACCAGCAGAGAGAATTCTCTGTCAAGAGGGGGAGGATTCGGGACCCCCCTCTGGGGGTCTTGCCTTTGCAGAACGCTGGGTAACTTACCTTGAGTGGAAGACTGAGGTCGACGAGGTGTCGACGGTGGCCTGGCCGTGGACCCTGGCGCCCCTTCCCCGTCTTGGCGCATATTTGCAGACGGCGATCGGCTCTGCTTTAACCGTCTTCTTCGTTGGTTCTGAAACCAGACCTAGGGGCAAACAGAGAGAATACGTTCTCAAGAGAAAGGCCTCCGGGTGCTTTCTGCTGACGCGGATCGGCACGGGGAGCCTGAGAGGGAGAACGGGTGGAGAGAGGGGGCCCTACCTGAACTCTGCTTTCGGCAATGCCAAGCTCTCGGGCCAGTCGTTCTCTGGTCGCTATCCCAGGGTAGGGGTTCTGTTGAAAGAGTGCTTGCAGGGTGTCCTTCTGGCTCAGCTTCAGAACGAGCCTCCTCCTTCGAGATCCTCTGGCGATGGGGCCTGTGGAAGAGACGAAAGGGAAAAGTCTCAGAGGACGTGGGGTTTGGAGAGGACTCGACGGAAGTGCCCAAGCATGCTCCCCACCCAGGGCAGTTGCCCCTGTGCCTCAGCAAAGCCGGGAGCCCGGGGACGCCTCTGCATTTGGAAGTCACTTGACTACACCCCGAGTGACAGGCCGAGAGTCAAGGGCAGTGGGGAAATCCCCCAACCCCCGACCCACGCTGGAGTCCGAGGAACACCAGCAAGCAGAAAGGAAGCCAAACCCGCCCCTGAAACAAAGCTGGCAAGAAATCCCACCCACCAAAGACCAGCACACCATGCAGCCTGTCTGCAGAGACATTTTTCCACCTGCCTCAGCAGATGCCTGGGAAATGTCTTGATGGGGCCTCTCCCAAAATTCCCTCCATCACAATGCCAATGGAGGGGAACCTGGCTTCTCGGGGCTAAGAGGAGCCCAGGCCATATTTGCCGTCACTAGGGGAACAGGAAAGGAAGAGGGAAGGAAGCCAAGGCGAAGCCCAACATGCAACGCCTGACGGAAGACAGAAGGCACTAGGCCATTGTGGACAGAAAGCCACTGAAGTTGGCAAAGCCACAGAGCTCCCCGACGTCCATTTCCATGGCAAGATGAGGAAATAGGGCCCCATGCCAGTTCCCCTACCGGCCCCCCTAACACACAACCAACACCATCATCACAGAAAAGAGAAAGGAGAAGCCATGTGTGTGCCAAAGGAGCCAAACGACCAAACGGTGCCTCTCTGGGCACACCTGACGCCTGGAAACCAGGGGCCCAGCCGATCGGTCCCTGGCTTTCTTGGCGGTCAGTCGACACGTTTGCAGTGAACCCTTGGCCGGGCTATCCACAGACCCACCCCCCACCCCCACCCCGAGACCTGATCCGACCCCAGGGAGCGAGGGCAAACGTACCGCCTGAGGTGCTGGAGGAGCTGGACGAAGCCATGGTGGGAGAGCCACAGGGACGCTGCAGACTGCCTTCTCAGTGGGCCAGGACCCAGCTGCTCGGGACTTTGGATAGGGTGAGGCAGCTCTGCCCCTATTGACGTCAATCCTTGTGGGTGCATAGTCAGAAGGGACGCCCCTGGCCGCCAAGCAGAGACCCTGGAAAGAATCCCGTGGAGCCAGTGGGCTTTCACGGGCACGGCCCGCGACCCAGACTCCCAAGGTCCACGTTGGCCTGGGGGCGGTGGGCGTTGGGGGTTTTGGTGTGTGGCCCTGCCACGCAGCAGCTGGAATCAACCCCAGGCTCGGGGGCCCTCCGCAGTGCACAGAGTCCTAACTGCACGGGAATTCCCCTAGGTCCCTTTGAAGTTGCCGCCCACGCCCCCTTTCCCAGCCTGCCTTGCCTTCCGAAACGCCCTGGCTTTTCCCGCCTTTTCACATTCCACATATACGTTGGACTCAATGGCCTCCGCCGGCTCCTCCGGAGCATTCCCGGACACTGGACGCTCTCTCCAGTGCCTCCTCCTAGCTGCCTTAAATCCTTGCCTCCCTTTTCCACATTCCTCCCCACCTCCTCGGTGCCCCCCTGGCATCCTTTCCCGACAGCAGTCCCAGTCCACCGCCCTGCCCACACCCACCCCACGCCCACCCCCACCAAATACACCCAAGTCTTTGACTTGCCAGAAACCCAAGTCTACTGCGAGAGATGTGATGGGCCAGTGTCTCGAATGGCAACTCACACCGTTTGGGGCTTTTTCAGGTGCACCCTGATGCTTGCACCTCCCCAGCCCACCCCCTACACAAAGTGCCCTGGGGAGACCTCGGAAACGGGACACTGTACCCACTACTCTTAGGAACGTGGTTCCACTAAGCCAAGGAAGGAAGCATGCACGTTCTGGACGGAGAGGCGCCCTGACTTGTGCCAACAACTGGACGTGGAAATAGTGTGTGCTTTCTTAAAGAAACGGAGGGCAGAGAGGAGAAGGAGGAGGGAATCAGGAGGCAGGAGCAGACACAGGAGGGAGGAGGTTGCATGAGGCCACACGGGGGATGGCTCTGAACAGGTTCCAATGAATTGAAAAGAAATGAACGAACCACAACACCACACCCACAGCCATCTTTCCCAATGGATTCTTTGGCCACGCAGGTCTCTAAAGCCAACCACGGGGGCTTCACATGGGAACAGTCAGGGGGTTGTATGTACATCGAATCCACCGTGTCTATGAATTCAGGAACGGGTTTGCAAGGAAATCATGCCTGTATGTCTGCAGGTGATGCGGGGATGCTGGTGGCAGGGCGAGATGAGTCACTACACCGTGAGGATCAGAGAGACACACGGAGATGATTGGCCTTTGCAGCTCTACCAGGCATGTGTGTTGACATGGAGTCTGGTCGTGAAAGCGGTTGTGTGGGTAGGTCCCTACTGCTGGCTCAGAGGATCTGACCTCGGGAAACCCGCCCAGACCAGGCACCCCGAAACCGAGGGAAGCATGTCCCTGACGGAGTATTTTAGGGATACCTGCAGAGATGGCCAGTGGCTAGAAGCTGAGTCCCAGACGGGGGCCCCGCCCCCCTCCCCCAAACGCCCTCTCCCTCCCTCCGTCCCCAAATCTCTCTGTCTCCTTCTCTTCTCTTCCTCCCTCCCTCTCCCACTGAGCCTTCCCCAAGCCTCTCCCTTCTTCCCCACCCTCTCCATCCATCCACTCGCCCCCTCCCACCTTGCATTTCCCAGCCTTCTACCTTCCCACTGCTCTATCTCCCACTCCCACTCGCTCGGCTGCCCCTGGCCTAGGGAAGGAGTGCTCCTGTGTGGACTGTTGGAAAGACGCAACCAGAACACACATGAGTCAGACCAAAAGAACCTGTGCAGAGCACAGGGTTTCTTTATTGGCTCCACAGCATGTCCGTTCTTAGCCACCTTCTTGCTCACTGGAATCCTGCGATTCCTTGAGGCTTCAGGTGGTCTGTGCCTCTTGGAGGGGGCCCATGCTTCCCAAAGGTCCAGCTCTAGTGTATGTCCCCAAAGTTGCTGGTAGTCATCCCGTCTGTTTGCTCCCCACCGCCGCCCCCCCACCTAAAATCTTCCCTACTCCACGACCTCCGTGGCTTGGCCTCTGAAGCAAGGAGACCTGAAAGGGGCTCAGGGGAGATGGTGCCCCTTTCCTTCTTCTCCCTCTAAGTCCGAGGGCCTGGGGAGCCTGGCAGCATGTCCAGGAGTGCCTGGTAATCCTCCTCTCTGAGGGGTGCCTCCAGGATTGCCTCAACTCCTTCTTCGTCCGCAGCGGCCCGCGGTGAAGACCAGGGCGTGTCCTGGATGGACGAGGCAGCCATGATTTCCTCTAGGAGGCTGGGAGACCCGGGGAGGGCTGGATGGTACCCTGGGATGACAGGAGAGGACCCCAGGGAAGGACCCGGCGAGCCCGGGATGCATGTGACGGCCAGGAGCTCATCTTGGAGGCTGGGTGAGCCTGGGAGGGCGAGGTGTGCTCCTGCATCTGCATAGGGCCCCAGGGAAGGCGCCTGCGAGGCCGCAATATCCGTGGCCTCCAAGAGCTGGCCTAGAAAGCTGGGTGTGCCTGGCAGGGCAGGGTGTGCTCCTGCATCTGCAGCGGCCCCCGGGGAAGGCGCCTGCGAGGACCCGAGGCCCGTGGCCTCCAAGAGCTCGTCTAGGAAGCTGGGTGGGTCTGGCAGGGCAGGGTGCACTCCTGCATCTGCACCGGGCTCCGGGGAAGGCGCCTGAGAGTCCTCGATGCCCGTGGCATCCAAGAGCTCGTCTAGGAAGCTGGTTGCAACTGGCAGGGCAGGGTGCGCTCCTGCATCTGCAGCGGCCCCCGGGGAAGGTGCCTGCCAGTCTGCGATGCCCGTGGCTTCCAAGAGCTCGTCAAGGAAGCTGGGTGCGTCTGGCAGGGCAGGGTGCACTTCTGAATCTGCAGCAGCCCCCGGGGAAGGCGCCTGCGTGTCCGGGATGCCTGTGGCCTCCACGAACTCTTCTAGGATGCTGGCTGTGCCTGGGAGGGCAGGGTGTGCTCCTGCATCCGCAGCAGCCCCCGGGGAAGGCGCCTGCCAGTCTGTGATGCCCATGGCCTCCAAGAGCTCGTCTAGGAAGCTGGGTGCGTCTGGCAGGGCAGGGTGCACTCGTGCATCTGCAGCGGCCCCCGGGCAAGGCGCCTGCATGTCCGGGATGCCCGTGGCCTCCACGAACTCTTCTAGGATGCTGGGTTCGCCTGGGAGGGCAGGGTGCACTCGTGCATCTGCAGCGTCCCCCGCGGAAGGCGCCTGCGTTTCCAGGATGCCGGTGGCCGCCAAGAGCTCATCTAGGAGGCTTGTCGATCTTGGAAGGCTGGGCGGATGGGGCTGTGGCTCTAGCAGAGGGGCCGTGCCTTCAGCAACGGGTGACTCTGGCCTCCGCCTGATGTGTGTCTCAGGCTGTAGAGGCGGCAGGATGGCCCCTGGCCCAGGCTGCCAAGGGGCCGTGTCAGCAGGGGAGCACGCGGCCCAGGGCACTGCTACCTGGGGAGGAGGTGGTGGCTTCTCACTTGGCTGGAGAGCCATCGGGCTGGGCTGGATCACGAAGAACATCAACGGCTGCCCACACAGACCCCAGAGGCAGTCCCGGGCACCCAGAAGGTGGGGGCGCCCAAAGGAGCGGCTGCAGCCAAGGGTGGCATGCTCTCCTGTGTCTGAGAGGGGCCAAGGGGAGGAGAGGTGCTGTGGACAGCGGGTGGGGCCCTTCGGTCCTCTGGAGCAGGAGCGGTCGTGGCCGATGCGCCGCCTGGTCCTCGGGCCCGGACATTGCCAGGCCCCCTTGCGCTCTGCTGGGGGTGCCGAGCTCTTCGGTTTTGAAACCATATCTAGGGGAGCAAAAGGCAGACAGGCACATCAGAAGCCGTGACCGTCCAGATCAACGTGCTGGCGCCTCCGCGGCACCCATTTGTCACCCCGCCTGGCGGCCCGTCCTCTGATCTGGCAGGCCCAGGGCGAGTTCTGCAGGGCCATTTTCTGCAAACGAATCCCTGGGCCCTGGGAGATGAGGGGCGCCTGCACGGCAACAAGCGGCACAAAACCCACCACTCAGCCCACCAACTTTCGGCCCCCTCCCCCCAGCCCAAGCCCCGGCCCAAGCCGACGTGTATCCAGCTCCAAACGCTTGGCAGGGCTGAACGCGCCCGTCTCCTGGGCCACGGCCTGGGCCCATGCGCTGGCTGGAGAACTTACCTGGATTCGAGGTTCTGGGATTCCCGTCTGACGAGCCAGTTCTTCCCTGGCGGCAATCCCTGGAAAGCGATCCCTCGTGAAGGCTTGCACAAGGATCCTTGTTTGAGAAGGAGAGATGGCTGTCCTCTTTCTCCTGGCCTCTCTGGCCGAGTCTTCTACCAAGGAAAGAACACACCGAGAGGAGAGGACTTTAAGGCCCATGGAACCTTGACAGCACAGATACCCTAGACGGTGTGCAGGGGCTGGACAGTCCCACACACCTGAATCACTTCAGGTGGCTCTGAAGCCGGGGCAGGGTTCTACGGAATACACCCACAGATGGATCTCGTGCCTGGATCCATGGTGCAGGTGTGCGTGCACACATGCACACTCGGCACACATGCATGCCCCTGTGTGTCTCTTTGTTCCTCCGGACTTGCCGCGGAGTGCCCTGAAGCCTGCTCCTTGGCCAAGGTTGCCTGGGCAGCCGGAGGCTAAAGTTCCCGACGGGGACTCGGGAGGGGGTGCAAAGGGGGAACAGTGCTGCCCGTCCACGCCGCCTGGGGGCATGGTGGCCCTATCTGGGTCACTGATGGGGGACGCAACCAGATGGCCCTGTTTCCTCCCTGCTTGGTGTTTCTGAGCCTCCGGTGGTCATCCACCAGCAGAGAGAATTCTCTGTCAAGAGGGGGAGGATTCGGGACCCCCCTCTGGGGGTCTTGCCTTTGCAGAACGCTGGGTAACTTACCTTGAGTGGAAGACTGAGGTCGACGAGGTGTCGACGGTGGCCTGGCCGTGGACCCTGGCGCCCCTTCCCCGTCTTGGCGCATATTTGCAGACGGCGATCGGCTCTGCTTTAACCGTCTTCTTCGTTGGTTCTGAAACCAGACCTAGGGGCAAACAGAGAGAATACGTTCTCAAGAGAAAGGCCTCCGGGTGCTTTCTGCTGACGCGGATCGGCACGGGGAGCCTGAGAGGGAGAACGGGTGGAGAGAGGGGGCCCTACCTGAACTCTGCTTTCGGCAATGCCAAGCTCTCGGGCCAGTCGTTCTCTGGTCGCTATCCCAGGGTAGGGGTTCTGTTGAAAGAGCGCTTGCAGGGTGTCCTTCTGGCTCAGCTTCAGAACGAGCCTCCTCCTTCGAGATCCTCTGGCGATGGGGCCTGTGGAAGAGACGAAAGGGAAAAGTCTCAGAGGACGTGGGGTTTGGAGAGGACTCGACGGAAGTGCCCAAGCATGCTCCCCACCCAGGGCAGTTGCCCCTGTGCCTCAGCAAAGCCGGGAGCCCGGGGACGCCTCTGCATTTGGAAGTCACTTGACTACACCCCGAGTGACAGGCCGAGAGTCAAGGGCAGTGGGGAAATCCCCCAACCCCCGACCCACGCTGGAGTCCGAGGAACACCAGCAAGCAGAAAGGAAGCCAAACCCGCCCCTGAAACAAAGCTGGCAAGAAATCCCACCCACCAAAGACCAGCACACCATGCAGCCTGTCTGCAGAGACATTTTTCCACCTGCCTCAGCAGATGCCTGGGAAATGTCTTGATGGGGCCTCTCCCAAAATTCCCTCCATCACAATGCCAATGGAGGGGAACCTGGCTTCTCGGGGCTAAGAGGAGCCCAGGCCATATTTGCCGTCACTAGGGGAACAGGAAAGGAAGAGGGAAGGAAGCCAAGGCGAAGCCCAACATGCAACGCCTGACGGAAGACAGAAGGCACTAGGCCATTGTGGACAGAAAGCCACTGAAGTTGGCAAAGCCACAGAGCTCCCCGACGTCCATTTCCATGGCAAGATGAGGAAATAGGGCCCCATGCCAGTTCCCCTACCGGCCCCCCTAACACACAACCAACACCATCATCACAGAAAAGAGAAAGGAGAAGCCATGTGTGTGCCAAAGGAGCCAAACGACCAAACGGTGCCTCTCTGGGCACACCTGACGCCTGGAAACCAGGGGCCCAGCCGATCGGTCCCTGGCTTTCTTGGCGGTCAGTCGACACGTTTGCAGTGAACCCTTGGCCGGGCTATCCACAGACCCACCCCCCACCCCCACCCCGAGACCTGATCCGACCCCAGGGAGCGAGGGCAAACGTACCGCCTGAGGTGCTGGAGGAGCTGGACGAAGCCATGGTGGGAGAGCCACAGGGACGCTGCAGACTGCCTTCTCAGTGGGCCAGGACCCAGCTGCTCGGGACTTTGGATAGGGTGAGGCAGCTCCGCCCCTATTCACGTCAATCGTGGTGGGTGCTTAGTCAGAGGGGACGCCCCTGGCCTCCAAGCAGAGACCCTGGAAAGAATCCCGTGGAGCCAGTGGGCTTTCACGGGCACGGCCCGCGACCCAGACTCCCAAGGTCCACGTTGGCCTGGGGGCGGTGGGCGTTGGGGGTTTTGGTGTGTGGCCCTGCCACGCAGCAGCTGGAATCAACCCCAGGCTCGGGGGCCCTCCGCAGTGCACAGAGTCCTAACTGCACGGGAATTCCCCTAGGTCCCTTTGAAGTTGCCGCCCACGCCCCCTTTCCCAGCCTGCCTTGCCTTCCGAAACGCCCTGGCTTTTCCCGCCTTTTCACATTCCACATATACGTTGGACTCAATGGCCTCCGCCGGCTCCTCCGGAGCATTCCCGGACACTGGACGCTCTCTCCAGTGCCTCCTCCTAGCTGCCTTAAATCCTTGCCTCCCTTTTCCACATTCCTCCCCACCTCCTCGGTGCCCCCCTGGCATCCTTTCCCGACAGCAGTCCCAGTCCACCGCCCTGCCCACACCCACCCCACGCCCACCCCCACCAAATACACCCAAGTCTTTGACTTGCCAGAAACCCAAGTCTACTGCGAGAGAAGTGATGGGCCAGTGTCTCGAATGGCAACTCACACCGTTTGGGGCTTTTTCAGGTGCACCCTGATGCTTGCACCTCCCCAGCCCACCCCCTACTCAAAGTGCCCTGGGGAGACCTCGGAAACGGGACACTGTACCCACTACTCTTAGGAAGGTGGTTCCACTAAGCCAAGGAAGGAAGCATGCACGTTCTGGACGGAGAGGCGCCCTGACCTGTGCCAACAACTGGACGTGGAAATAGTGTGTGCTTTCTTAAAGAAACGGAGGGCAGAGAGGAGAAGGAGGAGGGAATCAGGAGGCAGGAGCAGACACAGGAGGGAGGAGGTTGCATGAGGCCACACGGGGGATGGCTCTGAACAGGTTCCAATGAATTGAAAAGAAATGAACGAACCACAACACCACACCCACAGCCATCTTTCCCAATGGATTCTTTGGCCACGCAGGTCTCTAAAGCCAACCACGGGGGCTTCACATGGGAACAGTCAGGGGGTTGTATGTACATCGAATCCACCGTGTCTATGAATTCAGGAACGGGTTTGCAAGGAAATCATGCCTGTATGTCTGCGGGTGACGCGGGGATGCTGGTGGCAGGGCGAGCTGAGTCACTACACCGTGAGGATCAGAGAGACACACGGAGATGATTGGCCTTTGCAGCTCTACCAGGCATGTGTGTTGACATGGAGTCTGGTCGTGAAAGCGGTTGTGTGGGTAGGTCCCTACTGCTGGCTCAGAGGATCTGACCTCGGGAAACCCGCCCAGACCAGGCACCCCGAAACCGAGGGAAGCATGTCCCTGACGGAGTATTTTAGGGATACCTGCAGGGATGGCCAGTGGCTAGAAGCTGAGTCCCAGACGGGGGCCCCGCCCCCCTCCCCCAAACGCCCTCTCCCTCCCTCCGTCCCCAAATCTCTCTGTCTCCTTCTCTTCTCTTCCTCCCTCCCTCTCCCACTGAGCCTTCCCCAAGCCTCTCCCTTCTCCCCCACCCTCTCCCTCCATCCACTCGCCCCCTCCCACCTTGCGTTTCCCAGCCTTCTACCTTCCCACTGCTCTATCTCCCACTCCCACTCGCTCGGCTGCCCCTGGCCTAGGGAAGGAGTGCTCCTGTGTGGACTGCTGGAAAGACGCAACCAGAACACAGATGAGTCAGACCAAAAGAACCTGTGCAGAGCACAGGGTTTCTTTATTGGCTCCACAGCATGTCCGTTCTTAGCCACCGTCTTGGTCACTGGAATCCTGCGATTCCTTGAGGCTTCAGGTGGTCTGTGCCTCTTGGAGGGGGCCCATGCTTCCCAAAGGTCCAGCTCTAGTGTATGTCCCCAAAGTTGCTGGTAGTCATCCCGTCTGTTTGCTCCCCACCGCCCCCCCTCCCCCACCTAAAATCTTCCCTACTCCACGACCTCCGTGGCTTGGCCTCTGAAGCAAGGAGACCTGAAAGGGGCTCAGGGGAGATGGTGCCCCTTTCCTTCTTCTCCCTCTAAGCCCGAGGGCCTGGGGAGCCTGGCAGCATGTCCAGGAGTGCCTGGTAATCCTCCTCTCTGAGGGGTGCCTCCAGGATTGCCTCAACTCCTTCTTCGTCCGCAGCGGCCCGCGGTGAAGACCAGGGCGTGTCCTGGATGGACGAGGCAGCCATGATTTCCTCTAGGAGGCTGGGAGACCCGGGGAGGGCTGGATGGTACCCTGGGATGACAGGAGAGGACCCCAGGGAAGGACCCGGCGAGCCCGGGATGCATGTGACGGCCAGGAGCTCATCTTGGAGGCTGGGTGAGCCTGGGAGGGCGAGGTGTGCTCCTGCATCTGCATAGGGCCCCAGGGAAGGCGCCTGCGAGGCCGCAATATCCGTGGCCTCCAAGAGCTGGCCTAGAAAGCTGGGTGTGCCTGGCAGGGCAGGGTGTGCTCCTGCATCTGCAGCGGCCCCCGGGGAAGGCGCCTGCGAGGACCCGAGGCCCGTGGCCTCCAAGAGCTCGTCTAGGAAGCTGGGTGGGTCTGGCAGGGCAGGGTGCACTCCTGCATCTGCACCGGGCTCCGGGGAAGGCGCCTGAGAGTCCTCGATGCCCGTGGCATCCAAGAGCTCGTCTAGGAAGCTGGTTGCAACTGGCAGGGCAGGGTGCGCTCCTGCATCTGCAGCGGCCCCCGGGGAAGGTGCCTGCCAGTCTGCGATGCCCGTGGCTTCCAAGAGCTCGTCAAGGAAGCTGGGTGCGTCTGGCAGGGCAGGGTGCACTTCTGAATCTGCAGCAGCCCCCGGGGAAGGCGCCTGCGTGTCCGGGATGCCTGTGGCCTCCACGAACTCTTCTAGGATGCTGGCTGTGCCTGGGAGGGCAGGGTGTGCTCCTGCATCCGCAGCAGCCCCCGGGGAAGGCGCCTGCCAGTCTGTGATGCCCATGGCCTCCAAGAGCTCGTCTAGGAAGCTGGGTGCGTCTGGCAGGGCAGGGTGCACTCGTGCATCTGCAGCGGCCCCCGGGCAAGGCGCCTGCATGTCCGGGATGCCCGTGGCCTCCACGAACTCTTCTAGGATGCTGGGTTCGCCTGGGAGGGCAGGGTGCACTCGTGCATCTGCAGCGTCCCCCGCGGAAGGCGCCTGCGTTTCCAGGATGCCTGTGGCCGCCAAGAGCTCATCTAGGAGGCTTGTCGATCTTGGAAGGCTGGGCGGATGGGGCTGTGGCTCTAGCAGAGGGGCCGTGCCTTCAGCAACGGGTGACTCTGGCCTCCGCCTGATGTGTGTCTCAGGCTGTAGAGGCGGCAGGATGGCCCCTGGCCCAGGCTGCCAAGGGGCCGTGTCAGCAGGGGAGCACGCGGCCCAGGGCACTGCTACCTGGGGAGGAGGTGGTGGCTTCTCACTTGGCTGGAGAGCCATCGGGCTGGGCTGGATCACGAAGAACATCAACGGCTGGCCCACACAGACCCCAGAGGCAGTCCCGGGCACCCAGAAGGTGGGGGCGCCCAAAGGAGCGGCTGCAGCCAAGGGTGGCATGCTCTCCTGTGTCTGAGAGGGGCCAAGGGGAGGAGAGGTGCTGTGGACAGCGGGTGGGGCCCTTCGGTCCTCTGGAGCAGGAGCGGTCGTGGCCGATGCGCCGCCTGGTCCTCGGGCCCGGACATTGCCAGGCCCCCTTGCGCTCTGCTGGGGGTGCCGAGCTCTTCGGTTTTGAAACCATATCTAGGGGAGCAAAAGGCAGACAGGCACATCAGAAGCCGTGACCGTCCAGATCAACGTGCTGGCGCCTCCGCGGCACCCATTTGTCACCCCGCCTGGCGGCCCGTCCTCTGATCTGGCAGGCCCAGGGCGAGTTCTGCAGGGCCATTTTCTGCAAACGAATCCCTGGGCCCTGGGAGATGAGGAGCGCCTGCACGGCAACAAGCGGCACAAAACCCACCACTCAGCCCACCAACTTTCGGCCCCCTCCCCCCAGCCCAAGCCCCGGCCCAAGCCGACGTGTATCCAGCTCCAAACGCTTGGCAGGGCTGAACGCGCCCGTCTCCTGGGCCACGGCCTGGGCCCATGCGCTGGCTGGAGAACTTACCTGGATTCGAGGTTCTGGGATTCCCGTCTGACGAGCCAGTTCTTCCCTGGCGGCAATCCCTGGAAAGCGATCCCTCGTGAAGGCTTGCACAAGGATCCTTGTTTGAGAAGGAGAGATGGCTGTCCTCTTTCTCCTGGCCTCTCTGGCCGAGTCTTCTACCAAGGAAAGAACACACCGAGAGGAGAGGACTTTAAGGCCCATGGAACCTTGACAGCACAGATACCCTAGACGGTGTGCAGGGGCTGGACAGTCCCACACACCTGAATCACTTCAGGTGGCTCTGAAGCCGGGGCAGGGTTCTACGGAATACACCCACAGATGGATCTCGTGCCTGGATCCATGGTGCAGGTGTGCGTGCACACATGCACACTCGGCACACATGCATGCCCCTGTGTGTCTCTTTGTTCCTCCGGACATGCCGCGGAGTGCCCTGAAGCCTGCTCCTTGGCCAAGGTTGCCTGGGCAGCCGGAGGCTAAAGTTCCCGACGGGGACTCGGGAGGGGGTGCAAAGGGGGAACAGTGCTGCCCGTCCAGGCCGCCTGGGGGCATGGTGGGCCTATCTGGGTCGCTGATGGGGGACGCAACCAGATGGCCCTGTTTCCTCCCTGCTTGGTGTTTCTGAGCCTCCGGTGGTCATCCACCAGCAGAGAGAATTCTCTGTCAAGAGGGGGAGGATTCGGGACCCCCCTCTGGGGGTCTTGCCTTTGCAGAACGCTGGGTAACTTACCTTGAGTGGAAGACTGAGGTCGACGAGGTGTCGACGGTGGCCTGGCCGTGGACCCTGGCGCCCCTTCCCCGTCTTGGCGCATATTTGCAGACGGCGATCGGCTCTGCTTTAACCGTCTTCTTCGTTGGTTCTGAAACCAGACCTAGGGGCAAACAGAGAGAATACGTTCTCAAGAGAAAGGCCTCCGGGTGCTTTCTGCTGACGCGGATCGGCACGGGGAGCCTGAGAGGGAGAACGGGTGGAGAGAGGGGGCCCTACCTGAACTCTGCTTTCGGCAATGCCAAGCTCTCGGGCCAGTCGTTCTCTGGTCGCTATCCCAGGGTAGGGGTTCTGTTGAAAGAGTGCTTGCAGGGTGTCCTTCTGGCTCAGCTTCAGAACGAGCCTCCTCCTTCGAGATCCTCTGGCGATGGGGCCTGTGGAAGAGACGAAAGGGAAAAGTCTCAGAGGACGTGGGGTTTGGAGAGGACTCGACGGAAGTGCCCAAGCATGCTCCCCACCCAGGGCAGTTGCCCCTGTGCCTCAGCAAAGCCGGGAGCCCGGGGACGCCTCTGCATTTGGAAGTCACTTGACTACACCCCGAGTGACAGGCCGAGAGTCAAGGGCAGTGGGGAAATCCCCCAACCCCCGACCCACGCTGGAGTCCGAGGAACACCAGCAAGCAGAAAGGAAGCCAAACCCGCCCCTGAAACAAAGCTGGCAAGAAATCCCACCCACCAAAGACCAGCACACCATGCAGCCTGTCTGCAGAGACATTTTTCCACCTGCCTCAGCAGATGCCTGGGAAATGTCTTGATGGGGCCTCTCCCAAAATTCCCTCCATCACAATGCCAATGGAGGGGAACCTGGCTTCTCGGGGCTAAGAGGAGCCCAGGCCATATTTGCCGTCACTAGGGGAACAGGAAAGGAAGAGGGAAGGAAGCCAAGGCGAAGCCCAACATGCAACGCCTGACGGAAGACAGAAGGCACTAGGCCATTGTGGACAGAAAGCCACTGAAGTTGGCAAAGCCACAGAGCTCCCCGACGTCCATTTCCATGGCAAGATGAGGAAATAGGGCCCCATGCCAGTTCCCCTACCGGCCCCCCTAACACACAACCAACACCATCATCACAGAAAAGAGAAAGGAGAAGCCATGTGTGTGCCAAAGGAGCCAAACGACCAAACGGTGCCTCTCTGGGCACACCTGACGCCTGGAAACCAGGGGCCCAGCCGATCGGTCCCTGGCTTTCTTGGCGGTCAGTCGACACGTTTGCAGTGAACCCTTGGCCGGGCTATCCACAGACCCACCCCCCACCCCCACCCCGAGACCTGATCCGACCCCAGGGAGCGAGGGCAAACGTACCGCCTGAGGTGCTGGAGGAGCTGGACGAAGCCATGGTGGGAGAGCCACAGGGACGCTGCAGACTGCCTTCTCAGTGGGCCAGGACCCAGCTGCTCGGGACTTTGGATAGGGTGAGGCAGCTCTGCCCCTATTGACGTCAATCCTTGTGGGTGCATAGTCAGAAGGGACGCCCCTGGCCGCCAAGCAGAGACCCTGGAAAGAATCCCGTGGAGCCAGTGGGCTTTCACGGGCACGGCCCGCGACCCAGACTCCCAAGGTCCACGTTGGCCTGGGGGCGGTGGGCGTTGGGGGTTTTGGTGTGTGGCCCTGCCACGCAGCAGCTGGAATCAACCCCAGGCTCGGGGGCCCTCCGCAGTGCACAGAGTCCTAACTGCACGGGAATTCCCCTAGGTCCCTTTGAAGTTGCCGCCCACGCCCCCTTTCCCAGCCTGCCTTGCCTTCCGAAACGCCCTGGCTTTTCCCGCCTTTTCACATTCCACATATACGTTGGACTCAATGGCCTCCGCCGGCTCCTCCGGAGCATTCCCGGACACTGGACGCTCTCTCCAGTGCCTCCTCCTAGCTGCCTTAAATCCTTGCCTCCCTTTTCCACATTCCTCCCCACCTCCTCGGTGCCCCCCTGGCATCCTTTCCCGACAGCAGTCCCAGTCCACCGCCCTGCCCACACCCACCCCACGCCCACCCCCACCAAATACACCCAAGTCTTTGACTTGCCAGAAACCCAAGTCTACTGCGAGAGATGTGATGGGCCAGTGTCTCGAATGGCAACTCACACCGTTTGGGGCTTTTTCAGGTGCACCCTGATGCTTGCACCTCCCCAGCCCACCCCCTACACAAAGTGCCCTGGGGAGACCTCGGAAACGGGACACTGTACCCACTACTCTTAGGAACGTGGTTCCACTAAGCCAAGGAAGGAAGCATGCACGTTCTGGACGGAGAGGCGCCCTGACTTGTGCCAACAACTGGACGTGGAAATAGTGTGTGCTTTCTTAAAGAAACGGAGGGCAGAGAGGAGAAGGAGGAGGGAATCAGGAGGCAGGAGCAGACACAGGAGGGAGGAGGTTGCATGAGGCCACACGGGGGATGGCTCTGAACAGGTTCCAATGAATTGAAAAGAAATGAACGAACCACAACACCACACCCACAGCCATCTTTCCCAATGGATTCTTTGGCCACGCAGGTCTCTAAAGCCAACCACGGGGGCTTCACATGGGAACAGTCAGGGGGTTGTATGTACATCGAATCCACCGTGTCTATGAATTCAGGAACGGGTTTGCAAGGAAATCATGCCTGTATGTCTGCAGGTGATGCGGGGATGCTGGTGGCAGGGCGAGATGAGTCACTACACCGTGAGGATCAGAGAGACACACGGAGATGATTGGCCTTTGCAGCTCTACCAGGCATGTGTGTTGACATGGAGTCTGGTCGTGAAAGCGGTTGTGTGGGTAGGTCCCTACTGCTGGCTCAGAGGATCTGACCTCGGGAAACCCGCCCAGACCAGGCACCCCGAAACCGAGGGAAGCATGTCCCTGACGGAGTATTTTAGGGATACCTGCAGAGATGGCCAGTGGCTAGAAGCTGAGTCCCAGACGGGGGCCCCGCCCCCCTCCCCCAAACGCCCTCTCCCTCCCTCCGTCCCCAAATCTCTCTGTCTCCTTCTCTTCTCTTCCTCCCTCCCTCTCCCACTGAGCCTTCCCCAAGCCTCTCCCTTCTTCCCCACCCTCTCCCTCCATCCACTCGCCCCCTCCCACCTTGCATTTCCCAGCCTTCTACCTTCCCACTGCTCTATCTCCCACTCCCACTCGCTCGGCTGCCCCTGGCCTAGGGAAGGAGTGCTCCTGTGTGGACTGTTGGAAAGACGCAACCAGAACACACATGAGTCAGACCAAAAGAACCTGTGCAGAGCACAGGGTTTCTTTATTGGCTCCACAGCATGTCCGTTCTTAGCCACCTTCTTGCTCACTGGAATCCTGCGATTCCTTGAGGCTTCAGGTGGTCTGTGCCTCTTGGAGGGGGCCCATGCTTCCCAAAGGTCCAGCTCTAGTGTATGTCCCCAAAGTTGCTGGTAGTCATCCCGTCTGTTTGCTCCCCACCGCCGCCCCCCCACCTAAAATCTTCCCTACTCCACGACCTCCGTGGCTTGGCCTCTGAAGCAAGGAGACCTGAAAGGGGCTCAGGGGAGATGGTGCCCCTTTCCTTCTTCTCCCTCTAAGTCCGAGGGCCTGGGGAGCCTGGCAGCATGTCCAGGAGTGCCTGGTAATCCTCCTCTCTGAGGGGTGCCTCCAGGATTGCCTCAACTCCTTCTTCGTCCGCAGCGGCCCGCGGTGAAGACCAGGGCGTGTCCTGGATGGACGAGGCAGCCATGATTTCCTCTAGGAGGCTGGGAGACCCGGGGAGGGCTGGATGGTACCCTGGGATGACAGGAGAGGACCCCAGGGAAGGACCCGGCGAGCCCGGGATGCATGTGACGGCCAGGAGCTCATCTTGGAGGCTGGGTGAGCCTGGGAGGGCGAGGTGTGCTCCTGCATCTGCATAGGGCCCCAGGGAAGGCGCCTGCGAGGCCGCAATATCCGTGGCCTCCAAGAGCTGGCCTAGAAAGCTGGGTGTGCCTGGCAGGGCAGGGTGTGCTCCTGCATCTGCAGCGGCCCCCGGGGAAGGCGCCTGCGAGGACCCGAGGCCCGTGGCCTCCAAGAGCTCGTCTAGGAAGCTGGGTGGGTCTGGCAGGGCAGGGTGCACTCCTGCATCTGCACCGGGCTCCGGGGAAGGCGCCTGAGAGTCCTCGATGCCCGTGGCATCCAAGAGCTCGTCTAGGAAGCTGGTTGCAACTGGCAGGGCAGGGTGCGCTCCTGCATCTGCAGCGGCCCCCGGGGAAGGTGCCTGCCAGTCTGCGATGCCCGTGGCTTCCAAGAGCTCGTCAAGGAAGCTGGGTGCGTCTGGCAGGGCAGGGTGCACTTCTGAATCTGCAGCAGCCCCCGGGGAAGGCGCCTGCGTGTCCGGGATGCCTGTGGCCTCCACGAACTCTTCTAGGATGCTGGCTGTGCCTGGGAGGGCAGGGTGTGCTCCTGCATCCGCAGCAGCCCCCGGGGAAGGCGCCTGCCAGTCTGTGATGCCCATGGCCTCCAAGAGCTCGTCTAGGAAGCTGGGTGCGTCTGGCAGGGCAGGGTGCACTCGTGCATCTGCAGCGGCCCCCGGGCAAGGCGCCTGCATGTCCGGGATGCCCGTGGCCTCCACGAACTCTTCTAGGATGCTGGGTTCGCCTGGGAGGGCAGGGTGCACTCGTGCATCTGCAGCGTCCCCCGCGGAAGGCGCCTGCGTTTCCAGGATGCCGGTGGCCGCCAAGAGCTCATCTAGGAGGCTTGTCGATCTTGGAAGGCTGGGCGGATGGGGCTGTGGCTCTAGCAGAGGGGCCATGCCTTCAGCAACGGGTGACTCTGGCCTCCGCCTGATGTGTGTCTCAGGCTGTAGAGGCGGCAGGATGGCCCCTGGCCCAGGCTGCCAAGGGGCCGTGTCAGCAGGGGAGCACGCGGCCCAGGGCACTGCTACCTGGGGAGGAGGTGGTGGCTTCTCACTTGGCTGGAGAGCCATCGGGCTGGGCTGGATCACGAAGAACATCAACGGCTGGCCCACACAGACCCCAGAGGCAGTCCCGGGCACCCAGAAGGTGGGGGCGCCCAAAGGAGCGGCTGCAGCCAAGGGTGGCATGCTCTCCTGTGTCTGAGAGGGGCCAAGGGGAGGAGAGGTGCTGTGGACAGCGGGTGGGGCCCTTCGGTCCCCTGGAGCAGGAGCGGTCGTGGCCGATGCGCCGCCTGGTCCTCGGGCCCGGACATTGCCAGGCCCCCTTGCTCTCTGCTGGGGGTGCCGAGCTCTTCGGTTTTGAAACCATATCTAGGGGAGCAAAAGGCAGACAGGCACATCAGAAGCCGTGACCGTCCAGATCAACGTGCTGGCGCCTCCGCGGCACCCATTTGTCACCCCGCCTGGCGGCCCGTCCTCTGATCTGGCAGACCCAGGGCGAGTTCTGCAGGGCCATTTTCTGCAAACGAATCCCTGGGCCCTGGGAGATGAGGAGCGCCTGCACGGCAACAAGTGGCACAAAACCCACCACTAAGCCCACCAACTTTCGGCCCCCTCCCCCCAGCCCAAGCCCCGGCCCAAGCCGACGTGTATCCAGCTCCAAACGCTTGGCAGGGCTGAACGCGCCCGTCTCCTGGGCCACGGCCTGGGCCCATGCGCTGGCTGGAGAACTTACCTGGATTCGAGGTTCTGGGATTCCCGTCTGACGAGCCAGTTCTTCCCTGGCGGCAATCCCTGGAAAGCGATCCCTCGTGAAGGCTTGCACAAGGATCCTTGTTTGAGAAGGAGAGATGGCTGTCCTCTTTCTCCTGGCCTCTCTGGCCGAGTCTTCTACCAAGGAAAGAACACACCGAGAGGAGAGGACTTTAAGGCCCATGGAACCTTGACAGCACAGATACCCTGGACGGTGTGCAGGGGCTGGACAGTCCCACACACCTGAATCACTTCAGGTGGCTCTGAAGCCGGGGCAGGGTTCTACGGAATACACCCACAGATGGATCTCGTGCCTGGATCCATGGTGCAGGTGTGCGTGCACACATGCACACTCGGCACACATGCATGCCCCTGTGTGTCTCTTTGTTCCTCCGGACTTGCCGCGGAGTGCCCTGAAGCCTGCTCCTTGGCCAAGGTTGCCTGGGCAGCCGGAGGCTAAAGTTCCCGACGGGGACTCGGGAGGGGGTGCAAAGGGGGAACAGTGCTGCCCGTCCACGCCGCCTGGGGGCATGGTGGCCCTATCTGGGTCGCTGATGGGGGACGCAACCAGATGGCCCTGTTTCCTCCCTGCTTGGTGTTTCTGAGCCTCCGGTGGTCATCCACCAGCAGAGAGAATTCTCTGTCAAGAGGGGGAGGATTCGGGACCCCCCTCTGGGGGTCTTGCCTTTGCAGAACGCTGGGTAACTTACCTTGAGTGGAAGACTGAGGTCGACGAGGTGTCGACGGTGGCCTGGCCGTGGACCCTGGCGCCCCTTCCCCGTCTTGGCGCATATTTGCAGACGGCGATCGGCTCTGCTTTAACCGTCTTCTTCGTTGGTTCTGAAACCAGACCTAGGGGCAAACAGAGAGAATACGTTCTCAAGAGAAAGGCCTCCGGGTGCTTACTGCTGACGCGGATCGGCACGGGGAGCCTGAGAGGGAGAACGGGTGGAGAGAGGGGGCCCTACCTGAACTCTGCTTTCGGCAATGCCAAGCTCTCGGGCCAGTCGTTCTCTGGTCGCTATCCCAGGGTAGGGGTTCTGTTGAAAGAGCGCTTGCAGGGTGTCCTTCTGGCTCAGCTTCAGAACGAGCCTCCTCCTTCGAGATCCTCTGGCGATGGGGCCTGTGGAAGAGACGAAAGGGAAAAGTCTCAGAGGACGTGGGGTTTGGAGAGGACTCGACGGAAGTGCCCAACCATGCTCCCCACCCAGGGCAGTTGCCCCTGTGCCTCAGCAAAGCCGGGAGCCCGGGGACGCCTCTGCATTTGGAAGTCACTTGACTACACCCCGAGTGACAGGCCGAGAGTCAAGGGCAGTGGGGAAATCCCCCAACCCCCGACCCACGCTGGAGTCTGAGGAACACCAGCAAGCAGAAAGGAAGCCAAACCCGCCCCTGAAACAAAGCTGGCAAGAAATCCCACCCACCAGAGACCAGCACACCATGCAGCCTGTCTGCAGAGACATTTTTCCACCTGCCTCAGCAGATGCCTGGGAAATGTCTTGATGGGGCCTCTCCCAAAATTCCCTCCATCACAATGCCAATGGAGGGGAACCTGGCTTCTCGGGGCTAAGAGGAGCCCAGGCCATATTTGCCGTCACTAGGGGAACAGGAAAGGAAGAGGGAAGGAAGCCAAGGCGAAGCCCAACATGCAACGCCTGACGGAAGACAGAAGGCACTAGGCCATTGTGGACAGAAAGCCACTGAGGTTGGCAAAGCCACAGAGCTCCCCGACGTCCATTTCCATGGCAAGATGAGGAAATAGGGCCCCATGCCAGTTCCCCTACCGGCCCCCCTAACACACAACCAACACCATCATCACAGAAAAGAGAAAGGAGAAGCCATGTGTGTGCCAAAGGAGCCAAACGACCAAACGGTGCCTCTCTGGGCACACCTGACGCCTGGAAACCAGGGGCCCAGCCGATCGGTCCCTGGCTTTCTTGGCGGTCAGTCGACACGTTTGCAGTGAACCCTTGGCCGGGCTATCCACAGACCCACCCCCCACCCCCACCCCGAGACCTGATCCGACCCCAGGGAGCGAGGGCAAACGTACCGCCTGAGGTGCTGGAGGAGCTGGACGAAGCCATGGTGGGAGAGCCACAGGGACGCTGCAGACTGCCTTCTCAGTGGGCCAGGACCCAGCTGCTCGGGACTTTGGATAGGGTGAGGCAGCTCCGCCCCTATTCACGTCAATCGTGGTGGGTGCTTAGTCAGAGGGGACGCCCCTGGCCTCCAAGCAGAGACCCTGGAAAGAATCCCGTGGAGCCAGTGGGCTTTCACGGGCACGGCCCACGACCCAGACTCCCAAGGTCCACGTTGGCCTGGGGGCGGTGGGCGTTGGGGGTTTTGGTGTGTGGCCCTGCCACGCAGCAGCTGGAATCAACCCCAGGCTCGGGGGCCCTCCGCAGTGCACAGAGTCCTAACTGCACGGGAATTCCCCTAGGTCCCTTTGAAGTTGCCGCCCACGCCCCCTTTCCCAGCCTGCCTTGCCTTCCGAAACGCCCTGGCTTTTCCCGCCTTTTCACATTCCACATATACGTTGGACTCAATGGCCTCCGCCGGCTCCTCCGGAGCATTCCCGGACACTGGATGCTCTCTCCAGTGCCTCCTCCTAGCTGCCTTAAATCCTTGCCTCCCTTTTCCACATTCCTCCCCACCTCCTCGGTGCCCCCCTGGCATCCTTTCCCGACAGCAGTCCCAGTCCACCGCCCTGCCCACACCCACCCCACGCCCACCCCCACCAAATACACCCAAGTCTTTGACTTGCCAGAAACCCAAGTCTACTGCGAGAGAAGTGATGGGCCAGTGTCTCGAATGGCAACTCACACCGTTTGGGGCTTTTTCAGGTGCACCCTGATGCTTGCACCTCCCCAGCCCACCCCCTACTCAAAGTGCCCTGGGGAGACCTCGGAAACGGGACACTGTACCCACTACTCTTAGGAAGGTGGTTCCACTAAGCCAAGGAAGGAAGCATGCATGTTCTGGACGGAGAGGCGCCCTGACCTGTGCCAACAACTGGACGTGGAAATAGTGTGTGCTTTCTTAAAGAAACGGAGGGCAGAGAGGAGAAGGAGGAGGGAATCAGGAGGCAGGAGCAGACACAGGAGGGAGGAGGTTGCATGAGGCCACACGGGGGATGGCTCTGAACAGGTTCCAATGAATTGAAAAGAAATGAACGAACCACAACACCACACCCACAGCCATCTTTCCCAATGGATTCTTTGGCCACGCAGGTCTCTAAAGCCAACCACGGGGGCTTCACATGGGAACAGTCAGGGGGTTGTATGTACATCGAATCCACCGTGTCTATGAATTCAGGAACGGGTTTGCAAGGAAATCATGCCTGTATGTCTGCGGGTGATGCGGGGATGCTGGTGGCAGGGCGAGCTGAGTCACTACACCGTGAGGATCAGAGAGACACACGGAGATGATTGGCCTTTGCAGCTCTACCAGGCATGTGTGTTGACATGGAGTCTGGTCGTGAAAGCGGTTGTGTGGGTAGGTCCCTACTGCTGGCTCAGAGGATCTGACCTCGGGAAACCCGCCCAGACCAGGCACCCCGAAACCGAGGGAAGCATGTCCCTGACGGAGTATTTTAGGGATACCTGCAGGGATGGCCAGTGGCTAGAAGCTGAGTCCCAGACGGGGGCCCCGCCCCCCTCCCCCAAACGCCCTCTCCCTCCCTCCGTCCCCAAATCTCTCTGTCTCCTTCTCTTCTCTTCCTCCCTCCCTCTCCCACTGAGCCTTCCCCAAGCCTCTCCCTTCTCCCCCACCCTCTCCCTCCATCCACTCGCCCCCTCCCACCTTGCGTTTCCCAGCCTTCTACCTTCCCACTGCTCTATCTCCCACTCCCACTCGCTCGGCTGCCCCTGGCCTAGGGAAGGAGTGCTCCTGTGTGGACTGCTGGAAAGACGCAACCAGAACACAGATGAGTCAGACCAAAAGAACCTGTGCAGAGCACAGGGTTTCTTTATTGGCTCCACAGCATGTCCGTTCTTAGCCACCGTCTTGGTCACTGGAATCCTGCGATTCCTTGAGGCTTCAGGTGGTCTGTGCCTCTTGGAGGGGGCCCATGCTTCCCAAAGGTCCAGCTCTAGTGTATGTCCCCAAAGTTGCTGGTAGTCATCCCGTCTGTTTGCTCCCCACCGCCCCCCCTCCCCCACCTAAAATCTTCCCTACTCCACGACCTCCGTGGCTTGGCCTCTGAAGCAAGGAGACCTGAAAGGGGCTCAGGGGAGATGGTGCCCCTTTCCTTCTTCTCCCTCTAAGCCCGAGGGCCTGGGGAGCCTGGCAGCATGTCCAGGAGTGCCTGGTAATCCTCCTCTCTGAGGGGTGCCTCCAGGATTGCCTCAACTCCTTCTTCGTCCGCAGCGGCCCGCGGTGAAGACCAGGGCGTGTCCTGGATGGACGAGGCAGCCATGATTTCCTCTAGGAGGCTGGGAGACCCGGGGAGGGCTGGATGGTACCCTGGGATGACAGGAGAGGACCCCAGGGAAGGACCCGGCGAGCCCGGGATGCATGTGACGGCCAGGAGCTCATCTTGGAGGCTGGGTGAGCCTGGGAGGGCGAGGTGTGCTCCTGCATCTGCATAGGGCCCCAGGGAAGGCGCCTGCGAGGCCGCAATATCCGTGGCCTCCAAGAGCTGGCCTAGAAAGCTGGGTGTGCCTGGCAGGGCAGGGTGTGCTCCTGCATCTGCAGCGGCCCCCGGGGAAGGCGCCTGCGAGGACCCGAGGCCCGTGGCCTCCAAGAGCTCGTCTAGGAAGCTGGGTGGGTCTGGCAGGGCAGGGTGCACTCCTGCATCTGCACCGGGCTCCGGGGAAGGCGCCTGAGAGTCCTCGATGCCCGTGGCATCCAAGAGCTCGTCTAGGAAGCTGGTTGCAACTGGCAGGGCAGGGTGCGCTCCTGCATCTGCAGCGGCCCCCGGGGAAGGTGCCTGCCAGTCTGCGATGCCCGTGGCTTCCAAGAGCTCGTCAAGGAAGCTGGGTGCGTCTGGCAGGGCAGGGTGCACTTCTGAATCTGCAGCAGCCCCCGGGGAAGGCGCCTGCGTGTCCGGGATGCCTGTGGCCTCCACGAACTCTTCTAGGATGCTGGCTGTGCCTGGGAGGGCAGGGTGTGCTCCTGCATCCGCAGCAGCCCCGGGGGAAGGCGCCTGCCAGTCTGTGATGCCCATGGCCTCCAAGAGCTCGTCTAGGAAGCTGGGTGCGTCTGGCAGGGCAGGGTGCACTCGTGCATCTGCAGCGGCCCCCGGGCAAGGCGCCTGCATGTCCGGGATGCCCGTGGCCTCCACGAACTCTTCTAGGATGCTGGGTTCGCCTGGGAGGGCAGGGTGCACTCGTGCATCTGCAGCGTCCCCCGCGGAAGGCGCCTGCGTTTCCAGGATGCCGGTGGCCGCCAAGAGCTCATCTAGGAGGCTTGTCGATCTTGGAAGGCTGGGCGGATGGGGCTGTGGCTCTAGCAGAGGGGCCGTGCCTTCAGCAACGGGTGACTCTGGCCTCCGCCTGATGTGTGTCTCAGGCTGTAGAGGCGGCAGGATGGCCCCTGGCCCAGGCTGCCAAGGGGCCGTGTCAGCAGGGGAGCACGCGGCCCAGGGCACTGCTACCTGGGGAGGAGGTGGTGGCTTCTCACTTGGCTGGAGAGACATCGGGCTGGGCTGGATCACGAAGAACATCAACGGCTGGCCCACACAGACCCCAGAGGCAGTCCCGGGCACCCAGAAGGTGGGGGCGCCCAAAGGAGCGGCTGCAGCCAAGGGTGGCATGCTCTCCTGTGTCTGAGAGGGGCCAAGGGGAGGAGAGGTGCTGTGGACAGCGGGTGGGGCCCTTCGGTCCTCTGGAGCAGGAGCGGTCGTGGCCGATGCGCCGCCTGGTCCTCGGGCCCGGACATTGCCAGGCCCCCTTGCGCTCTGCTGGGGGTGCCGAGCTCTTCGGTTTTGAAACCATATCTAGGGGAGCAAAAGGCAGACAGGCACATCAGAAGCCGTGACCGTCCAGATCAACGTGCTGGCGCCTCCGCGGCACCCATTTGTCACCCCGCCTGGCGGCCCGTCCTCTGATCTGGCAGGCCCAGGGCGAGTTCTGCAGGGCCATTTTCTGCAAACGAATCCCTGGGCCCTGGGAGATGAGGGGCGCCTGCACGGCAACAAGCGGCACAAAACCCACCACTCAGCCCACCAACTTTCGGCCCCCTCCCCCCAGCCCAAGCCCCGGCCCAAGCCGACGTGTATCCAGCTCCAAACGCTTGGCAGGGCTGAACGCGCCCGTCTCCTGGGCCACGGCCTGGGCCCATGCGCTGGCTGGAGAACTTACCTGGATTCGAGGTTCTGGGATTCCCGTCTGACGAGCCAGTTCTTCCCTGGCGGCAATCCCTGGAAAGCGATCCCTCGTGAAGGCTTGCACAAGGATCCTTGTTTGAGAAGGAGAGATGGCTGTCCTCTTTCTCCTGGCCTCTCTGGCCGAGTCTTCTACCAAGGAAAGAACACACCGAGAGGAGAGGACTTTAAGGCCCATGGAACCTTGACAGCACAGATACCCTGGACGGTGTGCAGGGGCTAGACAGTCCCACACACCTGAATCACTTCAGGTGGCTCTGAAGCCGGGGCAGGGTTCTACGGAATACACCCACAGATGGATCTCGTGCCTGGATCCATGGTGCAGGTGTGCGTGCACACATGCACACTCGGCACACATGCATGCCCCTGTGTGTCTCTTTGTTCCTCCGGACTTGCCGCGGAGTGCCCTGAAGCCTGCTCCTTGGCCAAGGTTGCCTGGGCAGCCGGAGGCTAAAGTTCCCGACGGGGACTCGGGAGGGGGTGCAAAGGGGGAACAGTGCTGCCCGTCCACGCCGCCTGGGGGCATGGTGGGCCTATCTGGGTCGCTGATGGGGGACGCAACCAGATGGCCCTGTTTCCTCCCTGCTTGGTGTTTCTGAGCCTCCGGTGGTCATCCACCAGCAGAGAGAATTCTCTGTCAAGAGGGGGAGGATTCGGGACCCCCCTCTGGGGGTCTTGCCTTTGCAGAACGCTGGGTAACTTACCTTGAGTGGAAGACTGAGGTCGACGAGGTGTCGACGGTGGCCTGGCCGTGGACCC